TGGAGGAGAAAGTCCTTGAACACGTAGTTTGTTGTCAGTGTTGCCTTAAAGACCAAGGAAAAAGTGACCACAGAACATTGGTTAAAAATTGGCTCAAAAGCAAATGACAGTAGAATCGAAGACTCCTATTTCAAGCTTTCTGCTCTGGAACAATGTGTAATATATATATTTAGTGTGTATTTGTGTATGTATACATATATTTATATATATGTAAAATAGAAAATTCTCCTTTTTAATCTGTAGGTTTTACCTCCAGATGTTTTAACACGGGTTAGCGAATATGTGCCAGAAATTGTGGATTTTGTGAAAAAGATTGTGGATAATGGTTATGGGTAAGTTTGCTACTGGATGCTTTTGTTGTGTGCTTATACTGTATCAGAGGTAGAATGATTGCTTTCAACAATTAACTCTGAACTCTTTTCTCTGTTTTCATATCCAGTAGTTGTCTTTTCCAGAAGTAGTGTTCCATCAAATAAAGAAACTTCAGGTTTCTTTGCAAATATTTCTCACCTGATGAAAATGTGCTGTTCTATACTTACGATGTCTTACAAAGAGAGGTTATGTTATTGAATTTATAGGGTGAAATCCTCATTCATAAAAATAAATAGTCAAAGTTCCATTCACTTGGACTGTGTTTTGACTCCTGACCTTCAGCAAGGGGTTTCAATAATGGATCCTTAGGTAAATGGCTAGAAATCAGTTGTAAATAATGTAAGTTTAAAAAAAAGTAATTGTGAATTGTTTTTCTGCCATTGTCTAATATTAGTGAAAATCAATCTGATATTTTAGAAGTTCTTAAGTATCATGATAGATTTCTGTCTGAAATTCTTGAGTTCTCTTTCTGTTAATCGCCTCAATTTTTCAACATGGATAGATTTTTATTGTGAAAGAAGCAAATCTGTGGTTCAGACTGCCGTAATGTCTCTTGCATGTTCTTCCTTTAAATCTACTTTTAAAAATTTTATTAAAAATTAAAAAAGGAGGACATTTCAAAATTATTTGCACTGAATTATCAGCATTCTTGGTGGTCCTGAAACTCACCTTTGTGTCAGAGGTTTTCTTATGGCTGTAGTGGGACAAAATTATCAAAGTGAAAGAGGACAAAATGAACTGTGAAACAAACATGATTTATATTGTGTTACTGCAAAATATTTAAAGGGATCAGAAGTACTGTAGGTATGTCTTCTCTTGGGACTGTTATCTGATGTCTCACTTCTTAAGAGTTTAACAGAATATGTTAATTGGTTTTCCTTTGATCTTTTTGATTTTGACTTTCAGTGATTTGTCTAAGATCTTTATGGTAAGGCCTTAAAACTTAGACTCACCTAAGTCATCTTTACAGTACTGAGCAATCCCGTACTGTATGTGGATTCACTGGAGAACTTAAGTTTAAGACAGTGATTTTTGGGATAAAATTCAGTTAAGTTGTGGTAGAAAGTTAGCTAAATCATGATCTTTAACATTTCAGGTATGTGTCCAATGGATCTGTATACTTTGATACAGTGAAGTTTGATTCCAGTGAAAAACACTCCTATGCTAAGTTGGTTCCTGAAGCTGTAGGTGACCAAAAAGCTCTTCAAGAGGGTGAAGGTAAAAAGGGGAAATACCATATGCTTAAGTTGCTGAAAAAAAAAGATGATGTGTTGATCTCTTCAACTGATTTTCATTTGGAACAAAATTACTGTCAGAGCTGAATGGGTTTCCTGCTGCACTTCCTTTACCAACAGGTTTCTTTTCCAAAGTTTTGTAGCTTGAGCTAGCACTTCCCTGAAAGTTTTTAATTGTAGTGTACCAAGAAACATTATTCATTCTAGGATGTTTTGGGGTTTTGTTTGTTTGTTTGTTTTGGTTGTTGTGTTTTGGTTTTTTTGTGTTGGTGAGTTTTTTTTGTCAGAATTGTGAACAGCTCAGTTACTTGACTATAGCCCACTTAATTGGCTGTTCATCTGGTTCTAAGTAGGAGGAGTGAAGCCTTGAAGCCAGGTCTTCCACATGCCAGGTGACAGCTCTCCACACCGGGCTGTGGTTACTTCATGAAAAATATTTGGGTTCCTCTTTCATACTGAGAACTCTTTTTACTTTGTAAACTTTGTTGTGTTGAACTAAATACAAATACAGATTTTTGGTTTTTAAGTTAAGCCATAGCAGAGGAGTAGCTAAAAATGCTCAATAAACCAGATTCATTAGTTATCTGCTCCTAAGTTTGTACAGTTTTAGTAGCAAATCATCAACAAAGTCTATCAGAAGAATATTAAAAGGTTTTTATGTAACACTCATACTAGGTGAAATTTGGGTCCTCATATTAGGTGAAACTAGCAATATCTGAGAGGTGCAGCTTAAAAAGATGTGATTTGATTTTTTTTTCTTAATTCAAACCCTTATAGCTGAAATCTTCTATGTATATGTGAAATAAAAGGTGCTAGCTTAAACCACCATCTTTGTTGTAACATGAATGTATCATTTCCACCACTTAACCAGTCACTTTTGTTGAATTGCTGTGTCTTTTTGCAAATACGAACTGATGCTGAGTGATTAATGTAACCAGCCAAGAGTATGCATACGTCAAGTTATTGCTTGTCAGCTTAGCTGATTTGGCTTGTAATGATTGTCCTTACCCTGACAGATGTCATTTTGACTGCTGCAGGCAGCAGAAATCTTAAGCTTTGAAAGATGTAATTAATGTAAATAGAAATAATTTTCTATTCAAAGTGCATGTTAGATATTCTAAAAAATGGAGATTGCAGGTGTCTCAACATCTACATCAAAATTAACTGGCAAGTTTAACCTTGACAGTTTTGTCTTTAATCTGTCTTGAGTTCTTATGCAGTAGGTGATATTGTTAACCATGTTAGTCTTGGACAGTACTGCAGAAATGGCAAATTCCCTGTGTTTTAAAGATGTTTTAATGAAGGTATCACCTACATGATCATAAGGGGCTAACAGTAAACAATACATAACTCGTGTGATGATAACAAAACAGTAAACATAGCTATTGAACAACTACCAGCCATTCTGTGCAGCAGCTGAGATGAGGGGTGGAAGAAATATCCTATTATCATGTTGTGTGTGCAGATTAAGACAAATCTAGCCTTAAGTTTGATCCTTCTAACTTTGGAGTGACTTGGTTCTGCAGTCTTACTTATCTATGAGTATAGGGTTGCTTGCTTCTGTATTTTCTTTTTTCTGAAACTGCTGTATTGTAATTGTCCCTGCAGAGAGAATGTAGATGAAACTCCTGTCAAAACTTAGAAAGCAGTGCAGCTGACACTTGTTGTCAGGTTTCCTATTAGCCAGACATTTATCAAAACCCAAAGGATTATCATGGTTAATTTTGAGGGCTGAGTCCTTTCCCATTTCCCTCCTTGATGTGAGGTACAGTGAGGCCAAAAATCAAAAAAGCTGGTGTTTAAATAAAATGTATATATTTACATTCTCTCTTTTGAAAGGTGACCTGAGCATCTCAGCTGATCGCTTAAGTGAGAAGCATTCTCCGAATGATTTTGCTCTGTGGAAATCCTCCAAGCCAGGAGAGCCCTCATGGGACTCTCCATGGGGAAAGGTAAGGACATTACAATCAGGATATGGATCTTCTACACCTTATTAAGTAGTATGTTACACAAATACTTTGCCTCACCTCATATTAATAATGTCTAGATTATGGGGATCTTGTATGCAATAGTAGATTCTGTTATTATGTTCATGTAATGATTTAGGGTGTGTATCAGTCTGGCTGTTTGACACTTTTTAAACACAAGTCTCTGATGGCTGTTGCTGGTTAGTTGTGCTCTCTATCTACAGGAATTTCTATATCTTTTTTTCCTTGTTATCAAAAATATTAATGTTGTTTTACAAAGAATAATAAGCAGGATAATCAGTGCATCACAGATGTGTATGCCATGTTTGTCCCTTAAATCCAACACTATACTTTTACAAAGCTGGACTGAGACTCTTGTTTTCTTGGTAGCAATGTATCTCATTTCCTCAGGTGTGTAGCTGCTTAGGCCAGAGCCATGAGGGAACGATATGTAGTTAGGAGGGGAAGACAACTAACTAGTAGCCAATTATTGTCTTTTTCTTAACAGGGTCGTCCAGGTTGGCACATCGAATGTTCCGCAATGGCTGGATCCATTCTAGGAGAGTCGATGGATATTCATGGAGGAGGGTTTGATCTCCGATTTCCCCACCACGACAATGAACTAGCACAGTCAGAGGTGAATGAACTGGCCTTCAGTTTCTGCAGTGAAAAGGCAACATGTTTTGCTTTGACTGCAACACAAATCCATCAATTACTTTTTAAAACTTTGTGTGTTTTGTATAAGCGTAACTTGTTGTTCTCAGGATTTTATTCTTAGATTATCCTACTTCATGGTATGTATGTAAACAGTGTTGGGTCTTTGGTATTTTTTGTTTTTGCTGCAGGCATACTTTGAAAACGATCACTGGGTTCGGTATTTTCTGCATACTGGCCACCTAACAATTGCTGGCTGTAAAATGTCCAAATCTTTAAAGAATTTCATTACCATAAAAGATGCACTGAAGAAACATACAGGTAAAAATTACTTTGGAATTGGAATGCTTTTGATGCACTTTGAGCGGTGACTGTGGTAGTTTTGTTATTCAGGCACATAATGGAGTTTCCAAAAATGGCTGATTTCAGGTCTCTTTCTTCTTCACTAATTTTAGATCAGCTTTGGCATTCTTCTGTTCCTTGTCGGTGTGGGTAATAGTTCCTGCTTTTTTGGTAGATGTATTGATAGTAAAAATATTAAAAATTGTTTTGTTCTTAGCCACTGCAGTATTGGAGACCACAGAAATGTGATAGATTATGATTATTTTCCTTGTTTATTTTGAAACTCCCAATAGCACGACAGTTACGGTTGGCTTTCCTCATGCACTCTTGGAAGGATACACTGGATTATTCAAATAATACCATGGAGTCAGCTATTCAGTATGAAAAGTTTATGAATGTAAGTAAGCTTTCCGTTCCTCCTCCAGCTCTCTAGGCTGTGTGTTGCCAATGTGTTTCAAGGAATAGCACCCAAGGATATATAGGACATATCCACAGACTGAGTTTGCCGTCTGAATTCATCTGGTGGGATGTGTCATGGTTTAGACCCAGCTGGCAGCTCAACACCATGTGGCCACTGCTCACTCCTCCCTAGTAGGATGGGGAGGAGAAAATATAAGGAAAGGGTCATGGGTCGAGACAAGAACAGGGAGGGATCACTCAGCAGTTGTGATCATGGGCAAAACAGACTTGATTTGGGGAAGAAAAATCAATTCACTTTGTTACTAATGAAATCAGATTAGGACAATGGAAGACAAAACCAAATCTTACAAACACTTTCCCTCCACCCCTCCCT